CGGGGAATTTTGGGAAGGGGGGAAGCGGCCCCGGGGTTTTGTCTGGAAAGAGAATTTTGATGGGATTTTTGATTTTTAATGGGATTTTTAAACAGAAATTTGATGGGATTTTTTAAAATGGGATTTTTAATCTGATTTTTTAAATCGGATTTTAGATCTCATTTTTGATCCGATTTTTGATCCTATTTTATCCTTGAACCGGCGGTTGCTGCTCCCAAATCCGCACCCCGCTCTCTCCTCGGGGGATTTGGGATTTGGGGTTCGGGATGGATGGATGGAATCACCCCAAACCCTCCGCGCAGCTCCGGCCGCTCCTTTCCACCAGGCGCGGCTTTAAAGCCGAAAATAATCGGTCTGAGAGCAAATTCGGGAACCGGAGCGCGCGATAAACCAAATAAAAATCACCCCCGCTTTTTTATTTCATTTAATTTCATTTCATTTTTCCCCCCCTTTTTTTCCCCGCTGGGATAGACGGGAAAGGTTCATTTTTATTTTCTTTTTTTCCCTCTCTCTCCCTCACAACTCTGCCATTAAACTCGAGCCGGGAAGTTTTTTTTCCCCGTGAAAAACGGCCAATTTTGGTGTTGTTCTCCCCGCTCGGCAGCGGCGTTATTAAAATGCTAATTTAAGAGTGGAAAGAAAAAAACAAAAAAGAAAAAAAAACCCCAAAAAAAAACCCCACAAAAAAAAAAAAGAAAAAAGAGCTAAATAATCTGGCGGTGCCGCAGCCTAATTGCAGCCCATAATGAGCTCGGGAAATGCGAGTGCCCCCGACACACGGAGAGCATCAACAGCCGCCGCCGCCTCATTAGCGGCCGCCTTCATTAATTCTGCCGACCCCGCGCTGACCCCGCCGGGGCCGCGGGGCGCAGGTGGAGCCGCCCCCGGGGATGCGGCGGCGGGGCCGGCCCCGGTTACCGGTTACCGCGGCAACCGCGGGATGCGGCACAGCCCGAGCGCTGCTCGGGTGCGGCGGGGAGCCCCGAGGTGTCAGAGACACGGGTCTGGGGTGTTCTACCCGGTTCTGGGGTGATTCACCCGGTTCTGGGGTGTTTCACCCCGATTCCAGCACGTTTTCCCCCAATTTCTGTGTCTCTGAGACTCCAAATCCCTGAATTCATCCCTCAGGTAGTCCTGGAGATGTGAAATCCCAATTCCGGCACGTCCCCCCCAATTTCTGCACATTTTCCCCCAATTCCAGCATGTTCCTACCCAATTTCTACACATTTCCCCCCAATTCCTGCATCCCCCGAAACTCCAAATCCCCGAGTTCATCTCCCGTACTCCTGGAGATGTGAAAACCCCGATTCTGGCATCTTTCACCCCAATTCTGGCACGTTCCCCCCATCCCATTCCTGCATTCCTAAAAGTCCAAATCCCATGGATGCTGCACATCCCCAATCCCTGCTCATCCCTGCACCTCCAGATCCTCCTGCACCCCAAAAATTCCTGAATCCCGAACATCTCCCAATCCCCGCACCCCAAACCTCCAAATCCGACATTCCCGCACCCCCAAACCCTCCCTGCACCCCAAAAATTCCCAAATTCCGAGCATCCCCCAAACCACACACCCCAAACCTCCAAATCCGACATTTCTGCACCCCCAAACTCTCCCTGCACCCCAAAAATTCCCGAATTCCGAGCATCCCCCAAACCCCACACCCCAAACCTCCAAATCCGACATTCCTGCACCCCCAAACCCTCCCAGCAACTTCCTGCAAATTTTTATTTAGATTTTTTTTTTTTTTGCGCGCGCGTCTCCTCTCTGCCCGCACTCCCCCGCAATCCCATCGACTCCGGACCCCAAATCCCCGGGAATTCCTCCCAAACCCCACCCCGCGCCCTCCCCCTGCCCTCGCCGTGCCCCCCGTTCCGCCGTGCACTCCAGATGAACCGGCGCGGCGGCGGCAATGGCCCTTGCAGCGCGCCGGGGAGGTGATTTAGGAGAATATTAAAGCGATGCGGAGCTGCGGCGGCGCCTCTCGGGGCAGCGGCAGGAGCGCACGGCACAGATGGGCCCGGCAGATGAAACATTTCCATTTCCGTCACATCGTCCCCAGCCGCGCTCCGCTCGCCGCCTCGGGCTCCGCGCCGCGCTCAGCGTGGAATAAAGATCAACCCGGCGTCGCCAGGCCTTGGAGGGGATCCAGGGATGGGGTCTGGGGCCCGGTGTCACCCCGGTGTCACCCAGTGTCATCCCGGTGTCACCCAGTGTCACCCAATGTCACCCCGGTGTCACTCAGTGTCACCCAGTGTCACCCCAGTGTCACCCCGGTGTCACCCCGGTGTCACCCCGGTGTCACCCCGGTGTCACTCAGTGTCACCCAGTGTCACCCCAGTGTCACCCAGGTGTCACCCCGGCAGGGTGGGGCGGTGGCAGGGCTGTGGTTGGGTGTTTTTGTGGGGAATCGTTACTTGGATGAGTCTTGGATCGTTGGGATGTGTGGGTTCGGATGGGGTGGGGTGGGACATGGAGACCCCAAAGGGATGGGACAGATCCTGGTGGGATGGGACATGGAGACCCCTCGGGATGGGACACCTGGACCCTCCTGGGGTGGGACTCTCCGGTCAGGCTGAGCTGGAGCTGGGCTCCGGTGGTGGCCGAGGCCGGCCCGGCAGATGAAACATTTCCATTTCCGTCACATCGTCCCCAGCCGCGCTCCGCTCGCCGCCTCGGGCTCCGCGCCGCGCTCAGCCGTGGAATAAAGATCAACCCGGCGTCGCCAGGCCTTGGAGGGGATCCAGGGATGGGGTCTGGGGCCCGGTGTCACCACGGTGTCACCCCGGTGTCACCCCGGTGTCACCCCGGTGTCACCCCGGGGTCCCTCGGGCAGGGTGGGGCGGTGGCAGAGCTGTGGTTGGGTGTTTTTGTGGGGAATCGTTACTTGGATAAGTCTTGGATCGTTGGGATGTGTGGATTCGGATGGGGTGGGGTGGGACACGCGGATCCTGGTGGGGTGGGACATGGAGACCCCAAAGGGATTGGACGAATCCTGTTGAGATGGAACACAGAGACCTCAATGGGATCGGAGATGGAGACCCCAAGGGGATGGGACAGATCCTGGTCGGATGGGAATGGAGATTCCATTGGGATGGGACATGGAGACCCCGATGAGATGGGATGTGGAGACCCCAAAGGGATTGGACAAATCCTGTTCAGATGGAACACGGAGACCTCAATGGGGTCGGACATGGAGACCCAAGAGGATGGGACAGATCCTGGTGGGATGGGACACGTGGATTCCAATGGGATGGGAATGGAGACTCCATTGGGATGGGACATGGAGACTCCATTGGGATGGGACATGGAGACCCCGATGAGATGGGACGTGGAGATCCCAAAGGGATGAGACAGATCCTGTTGGGATGGGATGGATCCTGGCGGGACGGGATTCCCAGTTTGAGGATTCCTGGGATGGGGAGGACAGAGTTGGGGTGACCCCAAACCCAGTTCCCATCTTCGAAAGGGAATGAGATTCCCGATTCTCTGCTTCCTGCTGATTCCCGGGAATGGGGAGATGGAGTCGTGGTGACCCCAAATGCAATTCCCGGTGACCCCAAATCCAATTCCCAACCTTGAAAGGATTCCAGATTCCCAATTTCCCGATTCCTGGGAACGGGGGGGACGCTGCTCTGCTTCCCAGTGATTCCCAGTTGTTCCCAGTGCTCCCAGTGCCCCCCTCACCCCTCCCGGGCTCCCTTTCCCCGCCCATCCTCTCCCTTCCATCCTTCCCATAAAATCCCATAAAATTCCCGAACTCCCCGCCCAGCGCAGCAGAGCCCTCATTAAGCCCTAATTAACCAAACTCCAACAAAACCCCGTCCTCCTCCTCCTCCTCCTCCTCCCGCCCCCCAAAATCCCGGAATTCCAGCGGGCCGGGAAGGAGCGGAGCAGAGTTGGGGCAGCTCCGCCGTGCCAGGGCTCGGCGTTAATGATTTAATAAAAATTAGCATAATTAACTAACATCTGCACGCGGCGGCGCGCGGCAATTTGGCAGCGCCGGCGCGATTGCCGCGAGTTTTTAATGAGCTTTTAATTCTTCCGGCGCCGCGCGGGGGGAAAATTCCAGCTGGGCTGGCGCGAGTTCGGGGCCTGTTCCGGCCCTGGGATTTAGGGAAAATCCCGGGATTTAGGCCCAGGTTTATCCCTGGATTCCGCACGGAAGGAGTTGGGATTGGTTTGAAATTGGGATGGTCCGGCCTGCGGGGTTTTAGGGATAAATTCGGATTTTAGGGATAAATTTGGGGTTTTTTCCCCATGCTTTTGGATGCTGGAAAATCCTGGGATTTATCCCAAGGTTTATCCCAGGATTTAGCAGAGAAGGAATTGGTTTAAAATTGGGATTGGTTTAAAATCGGGATTGCGGAGGGGCTGAGGCGCGGCTCAGCCTGAGGGGAAATTTTAGGGATAAATTCGGATTTTTGGGATAAATTCAGGTTTTGGGGATAAATTTGGGGTATTAAAAATATAATTTGGGATAATAATAAAAAAATAATGTTCTCCCCCTCTTGGCCCCAAATCCTGACCCAGAGGATTTGGTGTATTTCTGTGGGATTTGGGGTATTTTTTTGTGGGATTTGGGTTTTTTTTTTGTTGGATTATGGGTATTTTTGTGGGATTCAGCATTTCTTGTGGGATTTGGGTTTTTTTGTGGGATTTTGAGTATTTTTGGTGGAATTTGGGATATTTTTTGTGGGATTTGGGGGTTTTTTGTTGGATTATGGGTATTTTTGTGGGATTCAGGGTATTTTTTGCGGGATTTCAGGCATTTTTGCAGGGTTTTGAGTATTTTTTGCAGGATTTGGGTTTTTTTTGTGGGTTTTGGAGTACTTTCTGTAGGATTTGGGGTATTTATGTGGGATTCGGGGTATTTTTTGCAGGATTTTGAGTATTTTCTGTAGGATTTGGGGTATTTCTGTGGGATTTGGGGTATTTCTGTGGGGTTTGGGGTATTTCTGTGGGGTTTGGGGTATTTCTGACCCCAATCCCGGTCCCACAGGAGTACCCCGGGTACGGTTGGTGGGTCGGGGAGCTCGGCCGGGAAATCGGGATCGTCCCGAGGGAATTCCTGATGCCCGCCTTCGACCTGGAGCAGTGACCGGGACAGGGATGGGTGAGGCTGCGGGGACACTGTGGGGTTTGGGGTCTGGGGTTGGGATTTGGGGTCAGCTTTGGGGTGTGGGGTCAGCTTTGGGGTGTGGGGTTTGGGGTCAGCTTTGGGGTGTGGGGTCAGATTTGGGGTGTGGGGTCAGCTTTGGGGTGTGGGGTTTGGGGTCAGGTTTGGGGTGTGGGGTCAGGTTTGGGGTGTGGGGTCAAATTTGGGGTGTGGGGTTTGGGGTCGGGTTTGGGGTGCAGGATTTGGAGTTTTGGGTTTGGGGTCAGGATTTGGATTTGGGATTTGAGATTTTGGGTTTGGGGTCAAGTTTGGGGTGTGGGGTTTGGGATCAGGTTTTGGGTTTGGGGTGTGGAGTTTGGGGTTTGGGGTCATGTTTGGGGGCTGTGGTTTGGGGTTTGAGATTTGGGGTTTGGCTTTGAGATTTGGGGTTTGTGGTCAGGTTTTGGGTTTCGGATTTGGGATTTGGGGTCCCGGATCCATCCCTGGCTGTCTGCGGTGTCCTCGTCTCCATCCCCGTTTTCCCTGGAGCAGGCGGGACCGGGAACGGCAGCGCGGGGACAACGCTGGCTTGTGGCATTCCCTGGATCCCAAATCCCACAGATCCCACAGATCCCATGGAATTCACGCAGCAGAGCCATGCATGGAGGACACGGTGCTGGAACTGAGCGGATTTATCCCAAAAATCCCTCCTGGAGCCATTCCATGGGGAAACTGAGGCACGCATCCTGCTTTTCCCAAAAATCCCAAATCCCCTGGAGATCCCAAATCCAGGTGTTCCCCTATCCCAAATCCCAAATCCAGACGTTACCAATCCCAAATCCAGGTGTTCCCCTATCCCAAATCCCAAATCCAGATGTTACCAATCCCAAATCCAGGTGTTCCCCAATCCCAAATCCAGTTGTTGTCCCTCAATAAATTCCTTTTTCTTCTCCAAGTTTGGCTGCTCTGGGAACGACCAGAAATAATCAGGAATGGTTGGGAATGATCAGGAATGATCTGGAACGGTCAGGAATGGTCAGGAATGATCGGGAATGGTCAGACCGGGAATGGCCCCGTTGCTGTGGGGTGAATCCAGCCCATCCCTCTCCTGCTTTTCCCGCTGCTCCAGAACCCCCTCCCCTCCTGCACTCGCCGCTGGATGGAGGCCCCAGTCCCTCTGGAATTCCCAAACTGGGATCCGAGCCCAGTTTGGGAACTCCAGAGGGATCTGAGCCCAGTTTGGGAATTCCAGAGGGATCTGGGCCCTTTTTTGGGAATTCCAGAGAGATCTGGGCCCAGTTTGGGAATTCCAGCAGCGACGTGCTCATGAATATTCATGACTTCATGAATATTCATGAGCGATTCAGCCAATCACAGCGGTGCTTGGGGCCCTGAACTCCTCCTGCCATTCCTCCAGGGCATTCCCAACATTCCCGGACCTTCCCTGGAGCCGAAAATTCCCCAAAACCCGCCCCGAGCCCTGGCTGGGGGCGAGGAATTCCCAAATTCCCTAAATCCCAAAATCCCCGCCCCGGCAGAACCCGGAAAATCTCCTCCACTTCCGTCTGAATTTTACTTTTTTATTTATTTTTATTTCCTGCCCACACCAAGTGCTGAGGGAGGGAAAGACACCGAAACCGCTCCAGCTGCTCCCGCTTTCCCGAAAATCCCCGGAATTCCAGCGGGAAGGGGACACAAACTCCAGCCCCATCCCTCCCTTCTCCCGGCAGGAATCTCGGCTCAGATTGTCCCAGTTTGGGAATTCCAGAGGGATCCGAGCCCAGTTTGGGAATTCCAGAGGGATTTGAGCCCAGTTTGGGAATTCCAGAGGGATCCGAGCCCAGTTTGGGAATTCCAGAGGGATCTGAGCCCAGTTTGGGAATTCCAGAGGGATCCGAGCCCAGTTTGGGAATTCCAGAGGGATCTGAGCCCAGTTTGGGAATTCCAGGGGAATTTGAGCCCAGTTTGGGAATTCCAGAGGGATCTGAGCCCAGTTTGGGAATTCCAGAGGGATTTGAGCCCAGTTTGGGAATTCCAGGGGGATTTGAGCCCAGTTTGGGAATTCCAGCGGGATTTGAGCAGGAGCAGAGTGAGGAAAACACTGCTGGGAATATCAGGGAATACCAGCAACGTGCAGGGAAGGAGCTCGGCCAGGCTGGGGCCGCATTCCCAGTGCTCCCAGTGCTCCCATCCCAGGGATCCGCGCTGATCCCTCTTCCCAGCGAGGGCTGCGGGGCCTGGGCATGTCCAGAGGGTCACTCAGTGTCCAGCTGGGAATTCCGGGAATCCCTGGCTCTGCACAGGGGTCACTCAGTGTCCAGCTGGGAATTCCAGGAATCCCAGGCTCTCCAGAGGGGTCACTCCGTGTCCGGAGGGGTCACTCGCTGTCCGGCCGGGCTGTCCGGAGGGGTCACTCGCTGTCCGGCTGGGCTGTCCGGCCGTGCCTCGTCCATGCCGAAGTCAGTCCAGCAGGGGAAGCTCTCCAGGCAGCCCCGGGCACTGCCCAGGCCGGCACAGCTGGAAAAGAGCAGGAAAAATGGAATTCTCCAGGGAATGTCGGGATTTCCTGGGCACAGCCCCGCCTGGGCAGCTCCATCCCAGCTGGAAAAGGGGGATGGTCCCATCCCAGGGACATTCCAGCCCCATGGAACTGGGCTCCTCTGCCCCGGGATCCACTGGGAGGAGCTGGGAATTGTCCTGGGAGGAGCTGGGAATGTCCTGGGAAGAGCTGGGAGGAGCTGGGAATGCTCCAGGATCCACAGGGAATGCCCTGGGATCCACTGGGAGGAGCTGGGAATGTCCTGGGAAGAGCTGGGAATCTGCTGGGATCCACTGGGTGGAGCTGGGAATGCCCTGGGATCCACTGGGAATGCCCTGGGATCCACTGGGAGGAGCTGGGAATGTACTGGGATCCACTGGGAATGCCCTGGGATCCACTGGGAGGAGCTGGGAATGTCCTGGGAAGAGCTGGGAATCTGCTGGGATCCACTGGGAATGTCCTGGGATCCACTGGGAAAACCCTGGGATCCACTGGGAGGAGCTGGGAATTGTCCTGGGATCCACAGGGAGGTCCCGGGCCGCTCCCCTTGTCCCGTGTCCAAATCCCAGCCTGGATCAGATCTGTCCCCAGGCCAGCCCTGGTTTGTCCCCTCACCTGGAGCCCCCAGCCCCACACTGTCCCCTCACCTGGCAGCCCCAGCCCCACACTGTCCCTGGTTTGTCCCCTCACCTGGCAGCCCCCAGCCCCACACTGTCCCCTCACCTGGCAGCCCCCAGCCCCACACTGTCCCCTCACCTGGCAGCCCCCAGCCCCACACTGTCCCCACGCTGTCCCCACACTGTCCCCTCACCTGGAGCCCCCAGCCCCACACTGTCCCCACATTGTCCCCTCACCTGGCAGCCCCCAGCCCCTGTTTTCCCTCTCACCTGGCAGCCCCCATCCCTGTGTTATCCCCTCACCTGGCAGCCCCCATCCCCACACTGTCCCCACACTGTCCCCTCACCTGGCAGCCCCCAGCCCCGTGTTATCCCCTCACCTGGCAGCCCCCATCCCCGCGCCGTCCCCGCGCTGTCCCCAGGCGGGCCCGGCCATGGCGTAGTGCAGGATGGCGTCGGTGACGGAGCGCGGCCCCCGGCCCTGCACGCAGGCCTCGATGGCGGGCACGGGCAGCTGGCTCTGCAGGAAGAGGTGCAGGCGGCTGTCGGACAGCAGCACGGCGCTCTGCACCACCCTGGGGACACGGGGACACCGTCACCCTGCTGCCGCCGGCGGCACCGCGCCCTGCCGGGACAGGGTCACCTGCGCTGGCACCTTGTCACCTCCCGCCCTGCGGGGACAGGGTCACCTCTGCTGGCACCTTGTCACCTCCCGCCCTGCGGGGACAGGGTCACCTGTGCTGGCACCTTGTCACCTCCCGCCCTGCTGGGACAGGGTCACCTCCCGCCCTGCAGGGACACGGTCACCTGCGCTGGCACCTTGTCACCTCCCGCCCTGGGGACATGGACAGGTCACCTGCGCTGGCACCTTGTCACCTCCCGCCCTGGGCACACAGGGACACGGTCACCTCTGCCGTCACCTCCCACCCTGGGGACACAGGGACAGGGTCACCTCCCACCCTGCAGGGACAGTGGTTTGGGTTGTCTCTGTCATCTCTGACCCTGCTGTCACCTCTCCCCCTGGGGACACAGGGAGGGAGAGCAATGACAGCAAGGACAGCGGGGACAGGAGTGGGGACAACAGGGACAGGAGGGACAGCAAGGACACCCGGGGGATAGGAATGGGACAGCAGGGACAGGAATGGGACAGGAGTGGGGCAGCAGGGACAGCAGGGACACAGGGGACAGGACACAGGGGGACAGGAGGGACAGCAAGGATGGGGGGGACAGAAAGGACCAGCAGGGACAGGGGGACAGCAGGGACAGAAGTGGGACAGGAGAGACAGCAGGGACACAAGGGGACAGCGGGGACACAAGGGGACAGCGGGGACAGGAGTGGGACAGGAGAGACAGCAGGGACAGGGGGACAGCAGGGGGACAGGAGGGACACAAGGGGACACAGGGGGACAGGAGGGACACAGGGGGACACAGGGGGACACAGGGGGGACACAGGGGAACAGCAGGGGGACAGCAGGGGGACAGCAGGGGACAGCGGGGACACAAGGGGACACAAGGGGACACAGGGGGGACACAGGGGGGACACAGGGGGGACACAGGGGGGACACAGGGGGGACACAAGGGGACAGCGGGGACGGTGACCAGAGTCACCCAGCCCTCATTGCTGCCACCTCCTGGCCACCCCTGGGCACTGCACCCTCCCCTCAGCCCTTCCCAAATCCCAAATATCCAAAATATCCCAAATATCCCAAACCACCCCAAAGCCCGTCCCCGCTCCCACCTCTCCAGGAAGTGCTGCAGCCCCTGCCGCCGCCTCTCGATGAACTCATCGGTGCTCCCCACGAAAAACGCGGATTTTCCCGGCAGCTCCGGCACCGGCCTGGGAAAACCGGAGGGGAACTTTGGGATGGGCCCTGGGCGATCCCAAATCCCGTCAGTTTGGGGCGGAATCCCGCAGCCCTTACACAGAGCCTGGGAAAATGGGGGAAATCTGTGGGATTTTGGGTTCTGGGCAATCCCAAATCCCAGGGTTTCAGGTGGAATCCCCAGAGCCCTTACACGGAGCCTGGAAAAACGGGGAAAACTTTGGGATTTTGGGTTCTGGGCGATCCCAAATCCTGGATTTGGGGCGGAATCCCGCAGCCCTTACACGGAGCTTGGAAAACAGGGGAAACTTTGGGATTTTGGGTTCTGGGCGATCCCAAATCCCAGATTTGGGATGGAATCCTGCAGCCCTTACACGGATCTAGGAAAATGGAGAAAACTTTGGGATGGACCCTGGGTGATCCTGGGATTTCAGGTGGAATCTCCAGAGCCCTTACATGGAGCCTGGGAAAATGGGGGAAACTTTGGGATTTTGGGTTCTGGGTGATCCCAAATCCCAGATTTGGGGTGGAATCCCGCAGCCCTTACACGGAGCCTGGGAAAACAGGGGAAACTTTGGGATTTTGGGTTCCGGGCATTTTCCAATCCCAGATTTAGGACGGAATCCTGCAGCCCTTACACGGAGCCTGGGAAAATGGGGAAATCTTTGGGATTCTGGGCCCCGGGCGATCCCAAATCCCGCAGCGCTTACACGGAGCCGGCGTTGCGCTGGAGCTGCCGCCGCAGCCACACGAACTCGCGGTAGCGGCGCCGCACGCACGAGGTCTTGGCGGTGAAGGCCTTGCTGTTGGTCTGGGAAAAACACCGGAATGGCAGCGGAACCGGAGAGATCCCGGGGGATCAGGGAGGGATCGCCGGGAATGACCATGGGGAAGGAAACCGGGGAGGGATCACTGGGAGAAATCCCTGGGAATGACACCGGGAGGGATCACGGGGAGGGATAACTGGGAATGACCCCGGGAAGGATCACTGGGAGAGATCCCTGGAAATGATTCCTGGGAATGACCCTGGGAGGGATTCCCTGGGCATGATTCCTGGGAGGGATAACTGAGATTGATCCAAGGAGGGATCACTGGGAGAAATCCCTGGGAATGACACTGGGAAGGATCCCGGGGAGTGATTCCTGGGAATGACCCTGGGAAGGATCACTGGGAGAGATCCCTGGAAATGATTCCTGGGAATGACCCTGGGAGGGATTCCCTGGAGGGAATCACGGGGAATTGAGGGCTGAGGGATCCAGGGTGGGAATGATCCTGGGAATTATCCCTGGGATCAAGGGGGTGGATCTGACTGGGCAGAGCTCAGGGGCTGAAGGATCCAGGATGGGAATCATCCATGGGAATGATCCTGGGAATTATCCCTGGGATCGAAGGGCTGGATCTCAGTGACTGAGGGATCCAGCATGGGAATTAACAGTGGGAACTCTCCATGGGAATTATCCCTGGGATTGAGGGGCTGGATCTGCCTGGACAGAGGATCCAGGCTGGGAATTCTCCATGGGAATTATCTCCGGGATCGAAGGGCTGGATCTGGCCTGGACAGAGGATCCAGGCTGGGAATTCTCCATGGGAATTACCCCGGGATCGAAGGGCTGGGTCTCAGTGACTGAGGGATCCAGCACGGGAATTAACTGTGGGAATTCTCCATGGGAATTATCCCTGGGATCGAGGGGCTGGATCTGCCTGGACAGAGGATCCAGGCTGGGAATTCTCTGTGGGAATTATCCCTGGGATCAGGGGGCTGGATCTGGCCTGGACAGAGGATCCAGGCTGGGAATTCTCCATGGGAATTATCCCTGGGATCGAGGGGCTGGATCTCCGTCCCTGCCGGATCCGGGAGCCAGCCCAGGACAGGATCCCGAGGATTCCCCTCCGTGGCTCGGGACATTCCCGCTCCGGAGCCTCTCCCAGGGCTGATCCCGATCCCAATCCCGCCCGGCTCACGTGCAGGAAGATCTTGTAATCCACGTAGGAATTCCAGGAGCCCTCGTTCTGCACGCGCGGATCCTGCACCCGCACCGTGGTCAGCTCCTGCGGAAACCGGGAATGGGATCGGGGATCCACCCAGCCCTGCTTCCCTGGAATGGGATCAGGGGCTCTGGGATCCGGGATCCACCCCATTCCCGCCTCTCCAGCTTCCTGGGAATGGGTCTGAGGGGCTCCAGACATTCCCATTCCCACTTTTCCAGCATTCCCATTCCCCATTCCCGCTTTTCCAGCCATTCCCATTCCCCATCCCTGCATTTCCAGCCATTTCCATTCCCACTTTTCCAGCATTCCCATTTCCCATTCACACTTTTCCAGCCATTCCCATTCCCTATCCCTTCTTTTCCAGACATTCCCATTCCCCATCCCTGCATTTCCAGCCATTCCCATTCCCACTTTTCCAGCCATTCCCATTCCCCATCCCTTCTTTTCCAGCATTCCCGTTTCCCATCCCTGCATTTCCAGCCATTCCCCATCCCTTCTTTTCCAGCCATTCCCATTTCCCATTCCCACTTTTCCAGCCATTCCCATTCATTCCCACTCCCAGCTGGCCCCGGGCTCAGCCCCACGGACTCCCAGGAATTATCCACGGGGATGGAATTCCCAAGGATTCCACTCGCCCCGATTCCAGAAGTTGGGAATAAACCAGGAACGCTCCTCACTTCCTCTCGGTTCTCCAACATCCTAGAGCCAGAGCCCAGCGGGAAACATCTGGGAATAAAGACAAAAAAGGGATTCAGAGAAATCCTTTCTGGGGGTTTTCCACGGATTCTGCATCCCCCAGAATTCTGGGACACTGCAGTTTTTGGGAAGACTGGAAATCTCTGGAATTTGGGAAAAGCTGCACCTTAAGGTGCTCTGGGATTCCCAGTTTGGGGTTATTCCCCTCAAATTTGGGGTTTTCCAAGGCTCTGCTGCCTCTCACCTGTCTGGGATTGGGGATCAAGGAGAGAATTCCAGGGAAATCCCTCATTTCCAGGGAAATTCCTGCCAGGGAAAGCATTAATTGTTATCTCAGGCTCCTTTTATCGTGATCCATCCCTGAAAACCTTTCCCAACCCTCTGGAACAGCAGGAATCCTCCCTCCCACCCATGGAAAACCCTCCAGAGCCAGAAAAACAGGAATGAATCCCAGTTACTCCCGATTTTCCCTGTGGAGGGTGAATTCCTGAGGCTGTTCATAAACCCCATTTATCCCCTGTTTTCCTCGGACACACTAAAACATTGGAAGTGGGTTTTTTTTTTTTTTTTCAGGAATTATTTTCCAGGCTCTTTTGCTGCCCAGGGAAGGAAAGGATTCCTCATTCCCCCTCCCGGGAATGCCCCGCACCACGACGGGTCCCAAAACCTCGGGAAAAGCCGGAAAAACTGGAAAGAATCCCAATTATTCCCTTCCCACGCCGCCTGGAAAACACCGCTGGGAGAATTCCCGAGGCTGTTTCGCCTTTCCAGGGAAGGAGAAAACTCCCGGGAACCGTGGCCCGAGCCCAGGGCAGGGAGAGTCCCAAAAATCCAGGGAAAACCGGGAATGAATCCCATTCCTTCCTTCCCCACGCCGCGGGGGGAATTCCTGGGGCTGTTTTTGGGAATTCTGGGCACAGGGATCGGAGCTGGGCCCGAGCCCCGGGCCGGGAGAGGCCGCGGACGGGGCTGAGGCCCGGCCCAGCCCCGCCAACTCCTCCCGGGGGCTTGGGGACACCGGGATACCCCGAGAGGAGCCGGGATCCACCGGGATCCACCGAGGGGAGCGGGGATCCCGAACCTGCGCCCTCCCCTCAGGCGCCCCTCACCTCACACAGCCCGCGGACCATTTGAGCGGTAACGGCGGCGGCGCGCCTTTTATAGCGCGGAAGTGCCGGAAGTTCCGGTGCTGGGCATGCTGGGAGTTGTAGTTCGAACACCGGTGTTGTCCCAGGTGCCACCCCCACCCCGCCCTGGGATGAGGAGGGGACATGGAGGGGTTGGGAATGTTTATCCTGGAGAAAAGAGGGAGCAGGAGGGACCTTCTGGCTCGTCACAAGTCCCTGATAGACGGGGTAGCCGTGGGGGTCAGGCTCTGCTTCCAGGGGAAAGGGAGCAGCCTGAGGTTGGGCATCAGCAGGAATTTCTCCCTGGAATTGGGAACACAACGCTGGCACAGCTGCCCATCCCCATCCCCAAAAACACGAGGAGGTGGCACTCAGGGACACGGGTCAGGGGTGGCATGGCAGTGCTGGGGGAAGGGTTGGATTTGGCGATCTTAGAGGGCTTTTCCAGCCTGAGCCATTCCAAGATTCCCTAAATAAGATTATTTATGGAGCCCGTAAACTGGACCCTTCCCTGGGCGCTGGCACAGGCTGGGCACAGCCCACTGGACGTGGTGCTCGGGGCCCTGACCTAAGGGACAAAGAGCTTTTGGGTCACGGCTTGAGGTCGAAGACTTTCCCACCGTTAATAACCGTTAATAATGAATAACGGGCAGAACGGAGAGGCCTGACCATCCCGGACTACACCTCCCATCAAGCCCCGCGAGCGCTGCGAACTACACCTCCCGCCTCCCCTCGCGCGCACGCAGCGCTGCCGCGCTCCGCGGACTACAGCTCCCATCACACCCCGCGCCGCCCAGCGGAACGCAGCGCGGCTCGGCGGCGGCGCGGACTACACGTCCCGGCGCGCCCCGCGCGGGCGCGGCGCAGGCGCGGTGCGCGCGGCGGGCAGCGGCGCTGGCCGGGCTCTTTTGTTCAGGGCGGCGGACGGAGCGCGGCCAGGCCCGGGCCCCCCCCGACCCCCGAGCGCGCCCCCCGCGCCCCTTCCCTCGGACACCGGCGGCGGGGCTGTGCGAGGTCAGCGCGGAGCCGGCACCGAGCGCCGGCGGCGGCGGGGGGCTGTGGGGGTGAGGGGGTGAGGGGGGGCGGGGCGGCCTGGGGGGGGTCAGTGAGGGGGGTTGGGGGGCGGGGATGGGTCAGTGAGGGGGTTTGGGGTGATGAGGGGGGGTTTGGGGCCGGGGTCAGTGTAGGGATGGGTTTCGGGGGGATGAGGATGGGGATGGGGTCAGTGAGGGGATTTGGGCATGGTGTCAGTGTAGAGATCTATTTGGGGGTGCTGAAGAGAGGATTTGGGGCTGGGGTCAGTGTAGGGACGGATTTTGGGGTGGTAAGGAGGGGATTTGGGATAGGGTCAGTGTAGAGAGGGAATTGAGGAGGGGATTTGGGGCTGGGGTCCGTTTATGGATGGATTTGGGGTGATGGAGAGGGGATTTGGGGCTGGGGTCAGTTTATGGATGGATTTGGGGTGATGGAGAGGGGATTTGGGGCTGGGGTCAGTGTAGGGACGGATTTTGGGGTGCAGGGTGGGGTCAGTGATGGGTTTTGGGATGGGGTCAGTGCAGGGATGGGTTTCAGGAGGCGATTTAGGATAATGAGGAGGGGATTTGGGATGGGGTCAGTGTAGGGGTGGATTTGGGGTGGTGGGAAAGGGGATCAGTGGGATGGGGTGTGTGAAATGTTGGGGTGCCGGTTGGGCTGTGACCCCAAAAAGGAGCTGCACGGGGGAAAGGAGAGTTTTGGGGTCCGGGAGATCCCATGGAGACAGAGATGATGGGAAAATGGGAAGCTGTGGGGTGGAATTTTTTTTTTTTTTTTGGGAAAAAAGTGGAATTTGTGGGGGAAAAAAGGGGATTTGGGGGCAAAAAAAAAAAGGGATTTTGTGAGGGGAAAAGTGGGATTTGGGGGGAGGGAAGAAAGTGGGATTTTAGTGGGGGGAAAAGTGGGATTTGAGGGGACAGAGAAAAGGGGAATTTGTGGGGGGAAAAAAATGGGAATTGTGAGGGAAGAAAGTGGCATTTGTGAGGGAAAAACCTGGGATTTGTGGAGGAAAAGGGGTTTGTGAGAGAAAAACTGGGATTTGTGAGGTAAAAAAACCTCTAGGATTTATGAGGGGAAAACGGATTTGTGGAGGAAAAGGGAATTGTGGGGGGGAAAAGTGGGATTTATGAGGGGGAATTGTGAGGGGGGAAAAGTGGGATTTGTGAGGGGGGAAAGTGGGATTTGTGAGAGGAAAAAGTGAGATTTGTGAGGGGGGAAAGTGGGATTTGTGAGAGGAAAAAGGGAAATTGTGAGGAGAAAAAGGGGAATTGTGAGGGGAAAACCCGAGAATTGTGAGGGAAAAGTGGGATTTGTGAGGAGAAAAAGTGGGATTTGTGAGAGGAAAAAGTGGGATTTGTGAGAGGAAAAAGTGGGATTTGTGAGGGGAAAAGTAGGATTTGTGAGGGGAAAAAGTGGGATTTGTGAGAGGAAAAAGTGGGATTTGTGAGGGGAAAAGTGGGATTTGTGAGGGGAAAAGTGGGATTTGTGAGAGGAAAAAGGGGAATTGTGAGGGGAAAAGTGGGATTTGTGAGGGGGAAAAGGGGAATTGTGAGGGGAAAATGGGATTTGTGAGGGGAAAAAGGGGAATTGTGAGGGGGAAATGGGATTTTGGGGGACGGAGCTTTCAAATCCCTTTGGGATTTGTGAAGGAAAAGCGGGAATCGGGCAGGGAGCGGGATGGGGAGGGACAAGCGACAACTTTTGGCGGGAAGCAGGAAAAATCCCGGGAATCCGGTCTTGGGAGGGAAATTCGGGAATTTGGGGCGGGGCTGGGGTCAGGAATGGAGGAGGAGCTGTTTTGGGGGAGCTTTGCTGGGATTTGGGAGCTGGGCGAGCCAAAGCTCTGGGAATTTTGGGTGCTGGAAAACGTTTTGGGAATCCCAGCGGGATCTGGGGGTCTGGAGAAGGAGCTGGGAAAGCTTTTCCCAGGAAAAAGAGGGTTTGGAGCCGGGGTTATCCCGGGAATCTTCCCTGTGGTCCCACGGGGGAGTTTTTGGGGGGAGAAAAGGGGATTTTGGAGGCGAGAAAAAGGGAATTCTCCCTGGAATGCGGATGGGGGGGATGCCAGGGATGTGTTCCCATAAAACTGAGGGATCCCAGGATAAAAATTTGGATTCTGGCGGGATAAGTCTGGGATTTGCTGTGAAAAAGGCTGGAAGGAATAGGGAAAAGAAAAGGGATAAATCCCAAAATTCCTCCGGAAACTGAGAGGGGAGGGTCGGGCTCCTGGAATCCACGGAATTCAGCTGGGGCTGCTCCAGCCACTGGGAAATGCCCCAAAAAAAACTGGGAATGGGCTTGGAATTCAGGCCCTGCAGCCCTTGGGAATTCCTTGTGGGAATGTGGGAGAAAATGCCCCAAAATGTTCAGAATCCAGGCTTTTCCCATCTCTGGATCCAGAGTTTTTCCAGCTTGGAATCCAGGGCTTTCCTGGCTCTGAATCCAGAATATTCCCAGCTCTGAATCCAGAGTTTTCCCAGACAGCACTGGATGGAATTTCAGGAATTTTTGACTCCCTAAACAGCCGTGGGATGAGGAGCTGGGTAAATATCCCAGAGTATCCATGATCCAGCAAGGGAATGACCATGGAGAGGTCGGGATCTGGGAATGTGTCCTGGGATTAATTGGGATTAACACCTGATGGAATTTGAGTTGATGGAAATCCCATTTTTTCCCCTCAGGATTTCCCATCCCAGGCAAGGCTGGGAGAGAAAATCCTGGATGGGAAAATCCCACTTTTCCCAAGGGCTGAAGGGCAGCTCTGGGAGGTCAGGAATGAGCCAGGAAAATTTGGGAAAGGCTGAGAAAAGAACCCTGGAGTAGCTTTTAGGAAAAAAAAAAAATTATGGAATTGCTGGAATTAAAGAGTGGGGAAGGCAAAAATCCAAATCTTTGTGTCAAAATCCTGTGATTGCTCCAGGAATTCCCAGGAAATTCTCACCTGGATTCCTGCCCTGATCCCAGCCCTTTTTCCTGTTTTTGGTGGGAATATCCCAGTGTTCCCAAGGAGCTCCAGCAGGGCAGGGAGAGAAAATCCCAGAAAATCCGACTGTGCCAGGGTGGGAAATCCCATTCCTACCTGGAAACAGATCCTGGAGGGATTTCCCCTCTCAATCCCAGTGTGGGATCCAAGGAATTCTCCCCGAGAAGGGAACACAACCCCACCTGGACCAGGCCAAACATCCCAAACTGTGCATCCCCGCATTCCCGGCATCCCAAAATCCCCAAATCCGGGATTTTCCCGCCTGCAGCAGCCCGGGAAAGCGGAGAAGCTGGCCAGCACAATGGGAAAAAAGCAGAACAAGAAGAAGGTGGAAGAGGTGCTGGAGGAGGAGGAGGAGGAATACGTGGTGGAAAAGGTCCTGGATCGGCGCGTGGTGAAGGGAAAGGTGGAATATCTGCTCAAGTGGAAGGGATTCTCCGAGTGAGTCATTCCCGCCGGGATCCGCCGCTTTCCTGGGAAAAATGGGAGCTGGGGGGGTCCTGGGGGTCCGTCCTGCCAGGGAGAGGGGCAGGACAGGGGGAAATCCCGGTGTTCCCAAGGAAATCCCGGTGTTCCCAAGGAAATCCTGGTGTTCCCAAGGAAATCCCGGTGTTCCCGGGGAAATCCCGATGTTCCCAGGGAAATCCTGGTATTGCCACAAAAATCATGCTTTTCAAAGGATTTCCCATCCCAGGGAGAGCAGGGAGAACAAATCCTGGAAAATCCCACTGTTCCCAAGGATTTTCCATCCCAGGGAAAACCCCAGTGTTCCCAAGGAACTCCAGCAGGGCAGGGAGAGAAGATCCTGGGAAATCCCAGAGTTCCAGGGTGGGAAATCCCATTCTGACCTGGAAAGGGATCCTGGAGGGATTTCCCCCCCTCAATCCCAGTGTGGGATCCTGAGAAGGGAATTTCCTCCCTTTCCTCCAGGATTTCCCCAGCTCTGAATCCAGAGTTTTCCCAGCCAGCACTGGATGGATTTTCAGGAATTTTTGTTGTGGGAGCTGAGAAAAACTCTGGGATGAAGAGCTGGATGAATATCCCAGAGGATCCGTGATCCAGCAAGGGGGATTGTCGGGATCTGGGAATTGGATCCAGCATTCCCACCTGGATCTGTCCAACCATCCCAAATTCCGCCTCCCCAGCGTCCCGGTGATGCCACATCCGGGATTTTCTGGGCTGGGAAAACTGGGAAAAACAGGGAATTTGTGTTTGCCGGCAGCGAGGACAACACCTGGGAGCCCGAGGAGAACCTGGACTGCCCGGACCTGATCGCGGAATTCCTGCAATCCCAGAAAACCGCCCACGAGAGCGAGAAATCCGAGGGCAGCAAGCGCAAGGCCGA